TTTTTTAAGATTTTTTATTTATTCATTTGAGACAGAGAGAGACAGAGCATGAGCAGGGGCAGATGCAGAGGGAGAGGGAGAAGCAGACTCCCCGCTGAGCCAGGAGCCTGACGCGGGGCTCGATCCCAGGACCCTGAGATCATGACCTGAGCCGAAGGCAGATGCTTAACGACTGAGCCACCCAGGCACCCCGGAAACTTGCTTTCCTATACAACTTGTTTTTGAGAAGATAATGAAGACATTCCTAAATAATAATCCTTTTTACTAGAACAGTATTTTTTGCTTGTAAGGATTTTCAATAACTATTTCACTACGTGCCTGATGACTGAAGCCCTTAAGAGTGGTTTCTACCTGCGGATTATGTATGTACAACAGCCTCAGCTAGGGGAAAGGGAGAAAGAGATGGAGATTCCCATCCATCAAATCTGTCATGTGGACTGACCTTCATATTAGGTGAGATTTCCAAAACAGTGGTCCTTTCTAGAGTGGGACTGGGGGAGGGAGGAGTGTGAGGCTATCCAGATGAAGAATTCCTTCTTTTCTTTGAGTGTAAAAAAATGATGATCGGTAAAGATAACTACTCAAGACTTTGTTTCCCTCCTTTCATATGTTTTATTCATAACCCAGTAAGAGGTTTTTTTTCTCCTTCCCCCATATCCTTCCTATCATTTTTTATTGATAGAGCAATCCATGCCGTCAGATTCCAAGCCCCAAAATGCTTTGATCTCTGTCATAAATTGGGAACTGTTAGCAAAAGGTATAGGAAAACAGAAATAGATGGGCTAAATCCTCATTCTTCTAGTGAAATTATGTGGGGTCTTTTGTTTTTTTTTTCGTTTTTTTGAAAAAGGTTTCTGGTGTCCTTAAAGCTTACAACATAAACCACTACTGTCAGAGATACTTGCTTCAATGCTGGACTCCTCCATCCCAAATGATATTAAGAATTCTGTAATTAAGCACTTTGGTGTAGTATTGCCCAGACATGCTGCAAAGTTGACCAATGAGTATTACCAATGAGTATTATGACATGGCACCTGTCACCAGACTAAACCAAAAACGGGAGCCCAAGGATCACTGAAATTTCTTTCCCTCACTGGTTGTTACTTGAAAAACTAAGAGAAGACTATTCAAACACTGTATCTGAACACTTGTTTTTGTATTCCAAAATATGCTGACGGAGACTGACATACAGTTCAACCTAATGAGTGTTTAAAGATGGAGAAACACCCCAGTAATTGATACAGAAAAAGGAAATTCTCATCATCCAATGCCCTTTATAGCAAGACTTCCAATTCATAAGGGGATCATTCTACCCTAGTCAGTTTCCATCACCCCAGTTGTTTTTTAAAACACTGACACAGAGAAACAGAAGGACAATGGGGAGAACAGACACAACAGCTGATGCAATCTCACAGGACATAAATACCTCTTACTATCAAAAGTTCTACAGAGGGCATTTATAAAATATTTAGAAATGCAGCTTCCTTTGCAGTTGGGTAAATCATCTGGACTTCAAAAATGAAAGCAAAAGGATCCGGGAAGAGTTAAGAAATCTCCGAAGTTCTAAGGGAAGTTTAAACCAATCATGCCCATGGTTGGAAGAAGAAATTTTGAGTAATTCTAAGAAAATCCCTCACTGCTTTTTATTTTGTCTTACTAGAACATATTAAAAAGAACTGAGAGTTCAGAAGAAAGTAGGTTATATGGAAAACATTCTCTTGGCCCTCAAATCACTGGGTTTGGGTTATTCACTTAGAAGTTCTACTCTAATCAAGTTTTCCATAAGAAGAGAAGTTTTAGCCACTGAAATCTGAGCAATCTTCTTCAATGGCACCCTGTAGAAAGGGAAAAGAAAACCACCCTCTTATGTTTGAAAAACTATTATTAGTCTGAAATGAAAGATATCACCTTCCAAAAGAACAGGAGAAAACTCAGCTGGCTAGTTCAAGTCAGAAACCCAGGGTGGAGGTTTCCAAGGCCCTTTTATTAGGGGAAGGTCCCCTTTGTAGCACAAGACTTCACATATGTATCAGACAATCAGATCAGTTCCTAAAAATTAGGGGAAAAAAAAGGGAAAAACAAAACAGATGCACTTTTTATATATATTAAACATAAATTAAAAACAATTTATAAAATGGTCACCTTTCTTACAGCATAAATGCAGACTGAATTATGAATGCACCTCCAGGTTTAAGTTGTTAAAGTTGTTTTTGTTTTGTTTTCCAATAATAAATAAAATTTGTTCTTAAGTTTTGGATCCACCTGTGCCACAGCAGGGCTCTGCGTCATTACTGGCTCTTCTCCCCCTGTCGCTCCTGTGCACAGCGTTGGGTTGTGCAGGGGCCACCAATTTCACTGGCCCATCGGGGTACTGGCTGTCTTTTCGGGGTGGCATCCGTTCGTTAATTCGGTCCAGACCTCGGGCTTCTTCAAAACTCCGGATCCTGTGCTGAAGCGAAAACCCTCTGATGGCTACAGGAAAACAGGAAAGGGAGGAGCTCGATTAGACAGCAAAGCAACAAGCTTAAAGTTTTTTAGCATACAGCAACCTCCTAGAGAAAACCATAGAAGGTTGGAGCACATGTCTGGTGAAGGTTAACGGGCAATATTTGACTTGAATCAGCCTCATCTGAAGCTACTGCTTCCTTAAGGCCCATAGGGCAGTTGAAACTATGAAAGTGATTTTCACAGAAGCTCAATACAATTAATCATGACATAAGTATACCAGACAAATGACTAACAAGTTCATTCTGAACTTCAGTACATTTGAGAAAGGGTTTCTTATGGGCCTGAAACATGCTTAATGTAAGACAAAAGGCAATACTAGAATAATAGAGCAAGTTAAACAGAGTAGTTAACTTTAGCACAAACACCATATTGACCACAAAAAAAGTAATAAAAGAGCTAATCTTTTTTGTTTAGAAGGACAGCTTTTTCTCTTGCACAACCAGGAGCTGAATGTAAGTTAAAAGGCATCTAAAAAATAGCTTCTGGATATCTTCCTTCTAATGGAACTTTTGTATCACCAAGGAAAGGCATTCCCATTTTGAACCACCTTACTTAACAAAACAATTAAATTAATAACACAAGTTTATCAATTCCAATGATTTTCATCGTCAGATTCATAGATGATCTGTTACTTGAAATTTGTTTTCATAGAAACAGAGATAATTTAGCTTGACTGCCTTAGGGCAACCTCAGAAATGAATCAAACTAAATCCTAGTCTACTTTTGCCTCTGCTCTTGATATCCTTTAGCATCATTAGATAAAGAGGCTGACCTGTTTGGGTCTCTAGTAATCACACATAAGTCACTTCTATATGGAAGGGCTCCAAAATTAAACCATCTGATCCCTCATGACCAGTTGCTTAAGCTTCAACCATTGCATTAAGACTGACAGAGCCCAGAGAGGACTTTTGCTGTGGAGAGGGTCATTTAAATTAACACAAATACAGGACACAAAGGAAACACTTTGTGAGCATGCCTAGAAATATTTATTCCTTTTCTCACTGCTACAGTTCTGGTGATGCAATAATAGAAGATTTCAAATGTTGACACTTTAAAACTAGTAGACAGACACATGATCACATCTATCATAGGAATATGGCCATACCTTCCCGGGCCTCTACCGCTTCTACTGTGGCTGTAAGAGGCAGGAGCAGTGGCATGCAAAAATGAAGACAGAACAAGAGTGAGTAAACCAACAGCATTGCTGCCAGCACAGACAACCCAGGCTCCCACCTCAGCCTATTCCCATCCATAATAAAAGTCAATTAGTTAGAGAAGCCAGGATTACTGAGAAACACTAAACTGGGGGGAGATGTGAGGTGGGGAGAGTTTCTAATACTTTTAACATTTCGGGTGGCATGGGAACCGTTTTAGCTAATAGCATCTGTAGCTAATAGCATCTGTAGCTAATAGCATCTGTAGCTAATAGCATCTGTAGCTAAGACAATGGGTCAGTCAAGCTGACTATAAGAAACCAAGAGTTATATTGCTTTCCTAGTTTTTAAATAGCCAGCTGCTAATTTACTCTTTGACATTCACGTATCAAAATAACTTGAGTCAAATAATTTAACATCACAACTGTTCTTTAGTTTCTAATAGCTCAGATGGTATTAAATGAGCTGTTGCTGGGTCCTACACAAAATAGTTACTTAAAACTAATTCTTACTGCTCTTAAGCAATTTATGTGGGGTCCAACTGTCCTTTTTAATTACTTAATAAAAAAAAGAATGACCTTTGAATAACAGACTAGCATTTGGAAGGAGAGAAACATGGGTTTTAAGTGAGTGGTTATTTCTTGTCCAGGGGTGGAGTACTAAACTGGCAAAGACATAAAACTACTCAATACCAGATACAAATTCCTGTACCATCTGGGATTAGAGATCTAGTAGAAGCTGCCATTTCCAACCCATACAGCTTCCATTCACTGTGCAGAGAGCAGGCCAATTACTAAGAGGGCCTTCTCCTTCAGTGATGGAAAAGGAAGTAATTTAAAAATTAGTGCCAACAGGTAAACTTCCTTGCATCATCTTTTTAAAGTAGTAAAAACCCTAATACATGAAAAGGTTACAAGTGTAGCAAGAAAGATCTTATTAGAAGAACCCTCTCAGTTCCTCCAGTACTGATTTTTTACAAGAAGTCAGGGAAAAATAATGAACAGGACAGTTTACTGTTCTTGAGGTTCTGTGTATCAATAAGAGAGGAGAAACTGGAAGAACTGACAGTTAACGTCCTATCACAGTGTGAAAAATGGAACCTTGGAATCAACTTATCAAGTGCTTAAATTTGTCAACCATCTGTAGGCCTGTGGTAAGGCAATGTCACACCCTCTCTAATCGCCTCAAATAGAACAAATAAACGTTCACAAGAAAACGATAGTGCCTTCAAACAGTACATCACTGCTGCTGTTACAAAGTTGAAGAACAAAGCATAGCCTGAAATTGTATACAGGTTGTTGGTCTAATTAGAGTTTAAACACTATGTGGTAAAATGTGTGCAAGTATTACACTGTTTTGGGTTCTTCTAGAATTGCTTTTTGCACCAGGTATTAAGATACCAGCCTGCATTAAGGGGCATTATATATAAGAAACAGTCATAAAAAAACTGAGAAACTGGTTTATTTATTTATATTTAATTTATGTTTGTATATATTTTTATTATATTTCTTTACTGAAATATAATTCACATACCATAAAATTCACTTGTTTAAAGTGTTCAATTCAATGATTTAATATAGAGTTGTACAACCATCACCACAATCTATGGTTAGAACATTTTCATCACCCCCAAAAGAAAGCTATTTACCTCCCTCATCCCTTTCCCTTAATCCTAAAGCCAACCAATGCCTGGTCTGGACATTTCATATAAATAGAATCGCTGAGTTTCTGATTTTAGTGACTGACTTCTTTCACTTGGCATGTTTTTTGTTTTTAAGATTTTATTTATTTATTTGACAGAGAGAGAGACAGCAAAAGAGGGAACACAAGCAAGGGGAGTGGGAGAGGGAGAAGCAGGCTTCCCGCTGAGCAGGGAGCCTGATGCGGGGCTCGATCCCAGGACCCTGGGATCACGACCTGAGCCAAAGGCAGACGCCTAACCACTGAGCCACCCAGGCGCCCCTCACTTAGCATGTTTTTAAGGTTTAGTCACGTTGAAGCATGTACCAGTACTTCATTCCTTTTTATGACTGAATAGTATGCTACCGTGTGAAGAGCCACCTCATCAGGTGATGGACGTCTGAGCCATTTCCACTTCTTGGCTCTAATGAAAAATGCTGCTGTGGATATCTGTGTACAAGTCTTTGTGTGGATACATTCTCATTTTTCTGGGGTGTATAGCTACAAGTGGAACAGCTGGTCATAAGGTCAACTGCACATTTAATCATCTAAGGAATGATGGTTTCCAGATTGGTTTCCAAAGTACTGCACCATTTCACATTTCCACCAGCAGGGTATGAGAGTCCCAATTTCTCCACATTCTCACCAATACTTGCTACTATCTGTGTGATCACAGCCATCCTAGTGGGTGGTATCTCATTGTGGTTTGGGTCTGTATTTCCTTAATGTCTAATGATGTTGAGCAAATTTTCCCATGCTTATTGGCCACTTGTATGTCTTTGGAAAAATGTCTATTCAACTTTTTTACCCACTTTTTAATTGGGTTGTCTTTTTATTATTCAATTATAAGAGTTCTTTCTATTTTCTAGATACCAGTTCCTTATGCAATGTATGATTTGTAAATATTTCCACCCATCCTATGGGTTGGGTTGTCTTTTCACTTTCTTGATGATGGTTCCATTTGCAGCACAAATGTTAATTTTGATGTAGTCCAATTTATAACTGATTTGTTTTTTATTTTATGGTCTTTGTGAATCTCGTTCGGTTCTTGGCACTCCTCTTTATTTCGGTACTAGGAAGCTTGGGAGTAAAATTTGTGGCTATCTATTGGCTTTTTGTTTGTTTGTTTTCCTTTGTGCTCCAAATTCCAAGCATATTTATTTTACTTCAGTGTGTTATACGTATACTGTAACTTACTCAAATCCCTCTTGGAACAAGGTAAGACAAATGAATATATGATATAAGGCCATATGGGATATTGTTGGTTGAAAGTTCTCCAAGTAAAGTTAAAGGAACAATAAAAGGTCTTTTTTAGCTAATGCTCCAGTTTGCCAATGAACCTGTAGAACTGAGACTCTGATGGGAAAATGACAAATAAACTTAGTTTCGGTCAATCAATAAGAGACATAAGAAGCTCTAAAAAGCTAGCTCCAACTTAGTTTTGTTCTTACGCATTCCTGAAGATGTCTATCAATTTCAAAAGCATCGATAAAAAATCCTATTTGATTAAAACACTCATATTCCAATTAGGAATGAAGAGAAACTATATACTTGGGACTGAGAACAAAAGGCAGACCAAAGACTATAAACAAACAAACAAATCTCCAAATAGCACATCCATACAATTCTCCTTGTTATTCATCTCAGATCTGCTCTTTCAAGGTCCAGATTGAAAGAACAACTTTGTGGATCAGCAAGTTTCCAAAACTTTTCAAGTAAGGATGTAGAAGATTTTCCCTTTTTCTTCACCCATGGTGTTTCCTACTAATTGCAACCTGCCTCATCAGAAGTGCTCTCAGAGTGGCTCACATGACTAATTACCAAACAAAGTAATGGAGGGAAGTATTTTGCTTACAAGAAACTGTACATTTAGGGGCGCCTGGGTGGCTCAGTTGGTTAAGCAACTGCCTTCGGCTCAGGTCATGATCCTGGAGTCCCGGGATCGAGTCCCGCATCGGGCTC